GGGACCAGGGGAAAGAGGCTCATCAAATGTATAGAAAAAAAATAGGCTTCCACTGAGTAACATGATTTGTCCTTTTATTCTGATTATATGATGAATATAATGGATACTCCTCTTTAAAGTGAATACATATAAAAGTTTCTTCTTGATCTAACCTTCTCTGTATTGCCTAAAGGCTCTCTTTACTTAAGGTTTTATGAGAGCAAGAAAATCAGAAATATAACTACTGATATACAATTATTTCTACAGCATGAAAGAAAAAGGAGCTGAGTAGATTCCTAGGAGAATTAGATGCAAATAGACATTTCCACCCCAGATCGACATTATGCTCAGCTTCTTACAGATACCCTAGCATGGTACATCACTTAAATCAACAAACAACATGAAAATACAGTGTAAGCTTCCTTTTTTTCAAAAGGAGGAGGAGGAAGAATAGCTGCATTTCAATTTCTTAAGCAGAAAACTGTGATGTTGAACATTGGACAGGCTTTTGTATTAGGTTGGTTTGTGCTTCTAAGGTTAATTATAATCTCAGAAAGTGTAATTCTGGGTCCAGGAGACACAATGTCATAAAAGGTGCACTTAATCTTTGTTAATTGCAGAAGAAACATATCACAATCTAAAAAGGGCTCTCTGGCTCTCGGCCGCCCACCCCAGGCCTTCTCTTCCCTCCAGGATCAGGGAATTCTGGGCAATACTGCCAATAAGCCAGTGCCAGGAGCTAATTACAGAGATGATATCTGGAAGCAAACTGATTAAGTATGACACAAGCAATTATCCTAGAAGGCTTAATCTTCATACCTAAAGCCTATTCATGAAGTCTTATGCACATAGGCCAGCCTATCACTGTCATCAGTGACCTAGAAGGGGGCACTTTGCTTTCTACACCATAGCAATCTATGTAGAGCTAGTGTACCTCATCTACTGGTATGAAAAGTGTTCTTAACCTGTAGTGCATGAGACCCAAATGGACTATGGACAGACTTCAGGAGCCAGTGAATGAATCCCCTTATCTTATATTTATTATTATGTGGAAGAAGGATCAGTACTATTGTCAGATTAGTTTGAGGAAGTTGTAACCCCTAAACTATTGTAATAGTATGCCATAGAGAAGACATATGGCTCCAAAATATTGTTCCCAGAAAGAATTATAGTGATGTTGGCAAATATTTTTGTCAATAGTATATCTGTACTAGCCCTATTTTCTCCAATTTACAGAGTTTTTAAAAAAATGTTACCTTCATCTTGTATTTTTTTTTTTTAAATCCAAAGGTGTTTTCTAAAAAAAAAAAAAAAAAAAAAATGTTTTCAATTTATAAAAAATATATTGGGCACACTTGGGAAATGAACCAAGGTACCGTGTAAAATATTCTCTTATGTACTATTTTATACTTCCAACATCTAAATTACAGAGTATCAGGACATCTGGGAAGAAAGTGACAATTTCCGTCTGTCTTCCAAATGTTTTGTCTACACTATTGATTTTCAACCTGGGGCAAATTTGCCCTCCAGGGAACATTTCAAAATAGCTGGAGACACTTTGATTGTCACAACTGGGTACTATTGACATTGAGTGAGTAGAGACCAGGGGTGCTGTTAAACATCCTATAATGTGCAAAGCACTTCCCCACAACAAAGAATGATCTGTCTCAAAATGTCAATAGAGCCAAGGCTGAGAAACCCTACTGGCTCCACCACAGCCTTCAAATTGGGCCAACCCACACATGTCCCAACAAGCCCATATAAGTAACAACTTGTGATTCATGTCTCAGTTTGGCAGTTATTCGGCCAGTCTCTTCCCTGCAATTGAACCTTATTTATACTCAGTCTTATCACTATGGTTCCAAACTCCAACACTTCCCACCAATTGAAAATCTTCCTTCCTTACCAATTAGCGTTTTGGACCTCAGTACAAAATGTATTTTGGTTGTTTTATTTTTGCTGCATTGGTTTCTACAGTTTCTCTGGCCTCAGTGTCTTAGAGTTCAGATTCTGGAGTTAGACTTTAACTTGAGTTCCGGCCAGGTCACTTAGTAGTTTCTAGTCATTGTGCAAGTTACTTATTTCCCTGAACCACAGTTTTCTCATTTGCAAAACAGAATGCTTGGCACAAATGGTCAGGGCCTAAAGGACCTCATTCTTGTGGGAAGAGCCATAATTATTATCTTGTTCTCAAGTTCCTTAGAACTTATAAAATACATCTGTAGTGTTGCTGTGATGCTTACTTGAGACAGGATATGGACAGAAGTTCTCAGCTCTGGCTGGACCTTAGAAATCAGCCAAAAACCAAAAAGAGCACACTCACTGCCATCAAGTTGATTCCAACTCATAGTGACCCCCTGTCACTATGCCGAGCCTGTCTGAGGCTGTAAATCTTTGTGGAAGTAGATTACTCCATCATTCTTCCCCAGAGAGACTGGTGGGTTTGAACCACTGACGTTCTGGTTAGCATCCAAATGCCTTATTCACTACACCATGAGAGCTCCTTTAGAAATGAGCAAGGATGCTTAAAAACTGATCAAAGTCTCCACTTCCTGAGAGTTTGATTGTTGTCTGGGGTGAGTCTAGACCCCTGTAGTGTTAAAAGTTCTCCTGGTGATTCTATTATGCATGCCAGGTTGAGAACCACTGGTACAAATGTTGAACACTGTTCTGGTTACCTAGTGCCACTCTGACAAGAATATGCCACAAATGGGATACTTGAACAAACAGGAGTTTATTCTCTTACAGTTTGGAGGCTTTAAGTTCAAGTTCAAAGTGCCAGGCTCTAGGGGCTGTATGAAAGCCCCTCAGCCTTGGGCTTCAGCTCTGCCTCCTGCTCCTGGCCCACTGAAGCTAGAGGCTTTTTTTCACTCAGACAGCTGCTGGCTGCTGAGGCTGAGAAGCCCAAGGTTGACAAGTAAAAAGGCACAGTCCCAATGTTACCAAACCACATGGCAGGCCATTAACTCAAGTCCATTGAAACTCCCAAGGTTGGCAGAGCATGGCAGGCTGCTGAACAATGACATAGGTGCATGCAGGCCTCAAGCATGCCATAGGCTAGAGACTGTTCCCAAAGCTGCTTCTTATATACAGGAAGCAGACCACATACTTTCTAGTAGATTCCAGTCTACTTTCCAGTAGATGCCATCATGGAGTTAATTACCAGTCTCACCATGGGGAATAACTACACTCAGCTGCCCAGCCACTCAACAAGGCCTATTCAAGTTGACACACAAACTTAACTACCACAAACACCATGTCTGGCACATAAGACATGCTGTGATTACCATAGTGGTCACTGTTTGCTCTAGCCCCAAACTCCTTGGACTCCAGCTCTACCCCAAGAGACAGGAATTTAAATGGTAACAAACACAGAGAATTGGCTGAAATTTTCACTTAGAAATTTCATAGACATAGATGTAAGTCACAAACAATGGGTTGAAGAGTAAAGCCATAAGATTTTATTCTTGACTTCAGATCAGTGAATGAGAGCCCTCTTCTCGGGGAAATGTCCTTTCTATTCACCTTCATTCACAAGAAAGGCTCATTTGTATATATCTACTGATATACACTGTCAGCAAAAAAAGGGAAGACCCTAAAAGAGATGGATTGACACAGTGGCTTCAATGATGGGCTCAGGACAGGGTAGTGTTTCATTCTGTTGTACACAGGATCTCTAGGAGTTGGAGCTGACTTGACGGTACCTAAAAACAACAACAACACAGATATACACTGGTTATCTACATCATACAATGGTTAAAGACAAGATGTAACAATGGCTGGATTGCTTATTGAAAACTCAAACAACCAGTAAATTCCATTTTTAAACAGTCAATCTAATAGAACAAATAATTATTGGGCAAATATGTATTAGGTGTTAGAGATGAAAGTAGGCCAAAATATTAGATAAATAAAGCAAACTCCCTCAAGCATTCCTACTTTAGAAAAATATAAGCTTCAACAGACAGAGAGTTCAACACATACCACACAGGGTGTGAACTTTACATGTGTTACCTCAGTTTATCTCTTTCATATGAGGGAAGAGCTATTACCTTGTTCCCAAGATACCTAGAGCTTATACAAATGAATCTATTTAGCATGTACAATCCCCAGACAAACAAACAAATCCTCCTGTAGCTTCCTGGCCACTTTGCAACACATTATGTTATATTAGACATAAAGACATATAGATCCAAGTTTGTTGCACATAATTAGACACAGCATACTAGCTCATAATAATAATGGCATTCTACATCAATTATCCATAGGAATATCCATTCAGTTTTAAAGACAAGAAAACTGAAGCTCAGAAAGGTTCAGTAACTTATCCAAGGCCTCACTGTTAGTAAGTGTTGAAGCTGGCATTGAACTCTGGCATGTCCTACTCTGCCTAATACCCTGTACTTTTCAGAAATGTCTCAATGATCCAGAGCTGTTATGAATCAACTCACCAACAAATTGCCTTATATCTCTCCTGGGCTCAAATATAGGGCCTCCAGATTCTTTTGCCTAAGTATCCAGATGCCTCATCCTCAAGTTCAACAGGAAATATTCCCTCTGTGGACATATTTCTTCCTATGTGTCTAAAAGTAAGAAGGTAGAATCCCTGCAGCATTTTCTGCCACTTGAACTCAGGAATCCCCCATGTCCTGGCAGGAAATTTGGGCCCCATCCAGAAGCAAAGTTCACTTGGTGGCCTTCACCATAGAAATTTGTTGCTATACCAAATTCATTTCCACTTCCTGCTGATGAAGAGCAGCCAGTGGCCACAGCTATTAACCTATGCTCTAATGAGGTTGGTTTTTATAATGAGAAAAGATTGTGATTCTAATTAGCAATTTTCCATTTTTTCTCAATAAGTATCCCCAGTCACGGCAATAAAATTTCCTCATCACACTGGTTCCATGGCCAAAAAAAACATTTATACTGTAAACCATAAGCAAATGTGAAGCTGGTTAAGGAGACAGGATAGGTTTCAGTGGTTACTAATGAGCTACATTTTCCCTTTCCTCGTTTCTTAGGTCCGTGGTCCTAAAGTAGTTGGTTCTGACATGGTTGTGACAGTCGAGTTCACCAATCCTTTAAAAGAAATTCTGAAAAACATCTGGATATACCTGGATGGTCCTGGACTGATGAAACCAATGAGAAAGATGTTCCGGTAAAGACTGGGGTTGGGTGGGGAAGTGAGGAAGAAAGGATGGGTTCATGGGGAGTTGTTTGTTTGTTTGTTTTTCTCTATCTCTCTCTCTCTCTTTCTCTGTTCTTAAACTTACAGCTAATGCTCAATGAAACCATCTGAGAAGTTATTACCTTCATATTGGCCTTTATGTGGAGCATAAAGTAAAAATAGGTATTTACCACACTTCCACCACTGAATTCTTAAAACCCCTTTAATGAAGTGGATACTATTATTATCTTCTTTATGAAGATAATAGCTGAGAAACTCAAAGTTTGGAGAAGTGGACTGGTCTACCCTGTTACACAGCTTGCAAGAGTAGAACAAGAGTCAGATTCAGGGTGGCTGATTCCAGACCCAGTGTTCAATCATTGTGCCATACTAACACTTAACATTTGCCATCAAGTCAATTCTGACTCATGGCTACCCCATGTATGTGCTCCATAGGGTTTTCAATGGCTATTTTTTCTAAAGTAGATTTCTTCAGAGACACCCCTGGGTGGGCTCAAACCTCCAACCTTTTGGTTAACAGCTAAATATCTTAACCAACTGCATCACCCAGGGATTCTGTCATACTGCCTCCTCACATATCAATTCTACTAATATTTATTGAGTATCTATCATGTGTCAGATATTATTCTGGAAGATATCTCTCTTCATAGGACCTTTCCTTTCGAAGCCACACAGATTTTACCAACCCAAGCACCTTTCTCTGGAACTGTTGCTTTTAGTGGAAAAATGTTGACCCTAATGTGGTCTAGATTTGATTCCCTATTCAAGGATAATAATATTAATGAAACAAAGCCTCTTCTCACCCAGCTCCATCAGACTGTGCCCTATAGGTCTCTATATCTGTGGTATCTATTGACAGAGAGTCCAATCACCCGACAAGACAGCCCATTCCATGGTTGGGTAGCTCTATATGTTAGAAAGCATCTTTTCTACTGTATAGTCATAGCAACAATCCTAATTTTGTCATCTGGACCAGGGTAGACTAAGACCCATTTCTCTTTCCCCTAACAACTTGAAAATATTTGAAAACAGCTGTCATGCTTTCCCAGAGTCTTCTCCATTGGGGGTCAAACACCTGCCCTGACTTGATCCCTCTCACCTCTAATGGGGTTTGGCTCCCTCCCTCTCCACACATTCCAATTTGTCAATGCTCCTCTTCAAGTCTGACACCCAGAATGGATCCCAATCTTTGAAGTTTATTACTTTCATTTCTACCACAAATAAGTCTCTGTCAGCATCAATTAATCTAGCACATTTCCTGTGGGGTGACCTTGTAAGGCACTGAAAGGAAGATGGAGGGCTTTGTTGCCTTGGGGAATTACTTTTTGACCTAAAATGTTAGGAATTTTCCTAACACCCTTCAAGGAAGCTACCCTACTCTACAATCTATGGAGACAAGTGCTAGGCCTCACTCACCCCTTCTAGTTCACCTGTAAAAGAGAATTTGCCCACTAAGGGCTCTTTGCACTTCTTGAAAATTAGTGCTCACAGCTTCTGCTTCACCATTTAGGAATTGCCTAATGCTGGCTGATGCAATCAACAACAGAAAAAAATAATCTGAGTGCTCTTAAAAAAAAATGCAAGTACAAAACATAACAGCCTTCCTGTGCTAATAGGAAAGTTGCAGGAAAAGAGAATTAAATTAGAAATCAACCCCAGCTAGAGGGAGAGGTCAGCAGAGATAGCCCTGCTTTCGTCAGAAACGACAGCCTCAGCTGCCCATTCTCGCACCTTCCCACTCTAATCAGATGCAAGATTCACTCAGGGAAAGTGAAACACGTTTTTTCTTCCAAACAACCCCCTGCTGTTTTTCTTTCTCAAACAGTACATCACAGGCTGCAGCAGTGCGAATCCCAGAACTTCCAACTACCATTGAACCTCAGTTGTACCACAGTATAAAGATCTCAGGAATCTTGCCTTGATCGCATGCCAGTACATGAAAAGGAATACTCTGTGTTTTAGAAAAAGATGATTCCTCACACAGGGCAGTGGTCCATCTTTTGGGAGGTATGGGACTTAAATACATAGTCTCCTGGGCTGTGCTTATTGTTACTATTTGACATCTCCAGTAGGAGTAGCTTTTTTTTTTTTTTTTTTCAGCAAAAGGATGGAAGAGGCCATTCCCTACATGAACACAAGCAAATGTCCCACTCACATCCTTATTTTACCTTTTCAAGACCAAATTCTGTTTTGAAATTTTTGTTGAAATTTTGTGTTGTCAGTAATAGAAGGCATTGTCAATTAAATGAAAAAGCTTTTTTTGAAGGTGGCATAGTGCCTAAGGCATTTGACTGCTAACCAGAAGGCTGGTAGTTTGAACTACCAGCCACTCCTCGGAAGGAAATCTGGGCAATCTACTTCTGTAGACATACCACCTCAGAAACCCAAGGAGGGTTCGCTATGAGTCAGAATGTACTTGATGGTAGTGAGTTTATGTATTTTAATACAATTTTGCAGAACATATATGTCCTGAGAGGTCTCTAGTGCTGGGTTTGGTGGGATGAGGTCTATTTCTTCAGATTCATGCAGTTATACAGGCCCTTACCCAATGGCAGCATGCCCTAAAAGTGAGATAGCAGCTTCTGACTAAACTCCACAGGTGGAAAATACAGGTGGGCATGGTCTGTCCCACGGATATGGTTAAGGTACTATTCGTGTCATTGTTGTTAAGTGCAGTTGAATCATTTTCAACTCATAGCAACCTATGTACAACAGAAAGATAGTGCCCAATGCTGGACCATCCTCACAATCGTTACTATGCTTGAGCCCATTGTTGTAGCCACTGTGTCAGTCCATCTCACTGAGGGTCTTCCTCTCTTTCCCTGATCCTCATACTTAAACCAAAACATGGGCTTATAGTAGAGAGGACAAAAAGAGATTCTTCATCACATATGGCAACCCAAATTCAGGACAGCAATTCTCCCAGGCAAGAGAAGCTCTATTTCTCAGAACCAGTTATGGTGGAATTGACCCCAACTCATAGAGATCCCATGTGTGTCACAGTAGAACTGTGTTCCAAAGGATTTTCAATAACTGACTTTTGGGAATTAGATCACAAGCTCCTTCTTCTAAGGTCCCTCTGGGTGGACTCAAACATCCAACCTTTCTGTTAGCAGCTGAGCCAAATAACTATTTGCACCAATTTCTCAGAGACTATTAATCGGAAAGAGCATGACTTAGAAAATATATGTAATCTAGGCTAGATGAAGGAGCTCTGGTGGTGCAGTGGTTAATGCATTCAGCTGCTAACCAAAAGGTTGGCAGTTTGAACCTACCAGCTGTTCCACAGTAGAAAGATGGGGCAGCCTGCTTCCATAAAGATTTACAGCCTTGGAAACCCTATGTGGCAGTTCTACTCCATCCTATAGGGTCACTATGAGTCAGAATTGACTCGATGGCAATGGGTTTGGTTTGGGTTTGGGTTCTGGCTAGATGAGGGAATTTGGAGCCCTTCTCATTTGCTCCATGCCCTCCTGACTCAGGCACACATTGCCACAGCCAAGACCTAGGCCAGCCAGCACCCCTTCCATCTTTTCAGACACCTAGAAACACTTCACTGTACTTTTTGCTGCTAAGCTTTGATCAGAGAGGGACAGATCCATGTACCAACTTGGACCCATAAAAGTTCAATTCTATAGAGCCAGAACCCTGTTCAAGATTGTATTCCTTTCTAAGGTACATATCTTGAGTATTCAAGGGAATTACCCCCACCTGCCCACCACATCCTCTTTCAGGACCCCATAAGTGAGGGAGTCCCATGCCCAAAATCCTAAGCCTGAACAGATGGAGCTGGTAAGCAGGGAGTTGAAACCAGGAAGAAGAGTGGTACTGGGTCTCGTTCTTTGCTTAGGAATTCAAGCCACCTGTGCTCCAAGATGCCTTATGTCCCTGCTCCCCAGTGCTTCCCGTCTACCTCAGACGCTCCCAGGTTCTGCTGCCACAGACTTTCAACTTTTATGTTTCTGCATTTGATACTTCCAGTCAAATAATTTATCTTCCAGATTCATTTTTCTCTGTAAAAAATGATTAGGTTCCGTGAATTATTTCAAGAGAAAAATTCCCTGACTTTGTGAATTTGGTTTACATTTTCAGTTTCCTGAGTAGGACAGACAAAGGGTTAGACACATAGAGGAAAATCCCTAGGTAGTTGCAGTTTATTGTAATAATAATACCATTTGCCTGTGTGCATTCAAGATGATGAATGGCCAGTATAGCCTGATGGCTCAGCACATTACTGAGAACTATTCATCACAACATCTATACCCAGGCAAATAGAATTATTCCAATATTACTCACTTGCCATAAGTGGGCAAATGACTTTATTCTTCTCTCCTTCTGTATGTATTTATGTTGGTAAATGCACATATAGACATGTACTTATTCCTTCACATGCATATTAATTTGTAGGTAAACACAACCATAGATACATATCTGTATGTGCACATGTGTGTATATCTGCCAGTAAGCACACATGCAGACATGCACTTCTATCTTCACACATGTATGTATCTACCTGTTGGTAGACACATGCATAAACATGCACCTGCATCTTCATGTGTGCATTTATCGATAAACACACAAGCAGGCATGTCTGTATTTTCATATGTGTACTTATCTGTTGGTAAAAGCACACATAGACCTATGCACCTCTATCTTCATGTATATACTTATCTGTAGGTAAATGTACACATGGACATGCATCTGTTACTTCTGTATATATGTACATATCAGCATGTGGAATTTTATGAGTAAGAGAAAATAATGAAGATAAGCTCAAGGATTTAGTTTTTGCTTGAAGTATTTACTAACATGACATGGTTCAGGCCAAACCCTTAAGTAAGACAACCACTTCGCAAAGTGTTGCTGTGAGAGCCAAAGAAGATAATGAAAATATCAGGGTAAAAATAGCACACCTTTAGTTTTATTGGGAAATATTGTAAAAACTTTATGTTGAATCAATCATTGTAGAT